GAGAGCTGGGTGGGCTGGAGGCTGGACCGTGGGGCAGGAGAGCTGGGTGGGCTGGAGGCTGGACCGTGGGGCAGGAGAGCTGGGTGGGCTGGAGGAAGCCAGTTTGCAAAGATTGAAGAGTGAGAAAGTAGAGACTGACAAATCATTACATGCTAAATATCGATTTAAACATTATGTGAATGTCTGTTGGTTTAACAAGGCTGTTTAATGTAGTAAGAGATGCTAATTAAATAAATGAACTCTTGTTTATAAATCACTAATTAATTTTATTCCTTTACAGAATGTGCTCTGGAGATTTAAATTCTCTCAGCTTAAGGGATCTTCAGATGATGGGAAAACTCGAGTAAAGCTGCTGTTTCAGAATCTGGACACCAAACAGATTGAGACGAAGGTATGGGGCATGGGACATGGGTTATTCTGCCACCCACCCACACATAAAGTACAGCTCAGATGGTCTGCTGGTAAAAATCTCCATCCTTCCCATACACACGTACATAAACCAATAGGTCCCGAAGCACGAGTCCTTCTTAAAAATTAGACAATAGATACGTCGAAAGAGCCTGTCCAGGTCAAATGTCCCTTATCTGAAATGCTTGGTACCAGAAGTGTTTGGGATTTCAGATTTTGGAATGTTTGTCGATTAGGTACTGATTGAGCATCTGAAATCCAAAAATCCAGAATACAAAATGTTCAAATAAACATTTCCTTTGAGCATCATGGCAGCATTCAAGAAGGTTGGGATTCTGGAACATTTAGCGTCAGGCCAGCATTCAAGGTTGGGATTCTGGGGCATTTCAGTGTTTGGATTTTCAGATTTGGGACGCTCAAGCTGTACAGAAGGTTTCCTATTAGAGAGACGTTTATATCCTAAAATAGTGACTGTTGAAACAAAGTATTTGATTTGACTAAAATGTACAAGCATCTTAGTAAATATTAGCAGGAAATCAATATTTTAAAATATACCAGAAGTCAAAATTTAAAGGAAGGGTTTTACAAACTGTATTTTGTTTGCACCCTGCATGTGATAAATTGACTATAATATTGAGAACAAACTGCTCTGTTAATTAAAATACCTTAGACCTTTTAAATTCATTGCCTGGAGGTGACATTGTACTATTGACAGGTGTTGACTTTTACCGTATTTTATGTATAAATGTGTTGCCCACAAGCCAGTTTTAATATAAACTTAATAAGACTAAAGATTAAATTTACTAAACTGAAAAATAAATTTTAAAAAATACGAGACTCATGAACACATATTGTGTGGAAACAGATTGTCAATACTTTGCAGACATGTTTTTCTCTGATGGAATTAATCTGAGCAGCCCGTCACACGTGGCATTTTTATATGTGAAAGTTCAGGTCAACTTTGATCCTCTCTTCATTGATCTCAATGAAATGACAATTTATAGCTGTACTTAAAGTACAACGGAAATTGTATGTGATTGTTTGACATTTTTATGTTTTGGAAATTGACAAAAGTAAAACCTGATTGCAGATGGTACAGAGGCTGTGGCTCCTGGGGTGGGGGACAGTGATGAGGCAGCGGCACTCGTGCTGACCGCAGGGCCCTGAGCTGACCTCTTAGCAGGCTGCCCTGAGCCGCATCCCGGGGTCCTCAGCCGCCAGCAAGCTGGTAATGTGGAGAGAGAGGCTTGACATCAGTTTCCATCTGGTATTTCACTGGCATGGATGTGAATGGATCAGGGATGAAAATAGAACGTTCTTCCTCTGGTTTGTTTATTTATGCAGCTGTTTGCCTTGGGCCCGCTGGCAGGGGAGGAGCACCATAACCTTTTGCTGCTTTAATCTTGTGGAGCTCTGAGTCTCGTACTGTGAGGGCGCGGGAGGTCTCCGGTGGCCATGAGGGTTTCATGCCCGCGGTGTCCCTGTGGCTTTCTGAGCCCCTCTCATCCCCGGGGCACAGGCTTCAGGACCTCCAGCAGCTTCCATGGCATCTGAAACACCCTTTTAACAGTGTCTGTTAAGGTTAAATGCATTTGTGTTTTATTTGTTAATGATCAGTCAGCTCTTGATTATTGGTTAATAAAAGGAGCATCAGTATCAGGTCACCTAAGACAGAGGGGCTTGAAATATGTTAGATTCACGTGGGACAGAGGCTTTGCGACAGGCGTGGCTGCCTTGTGCTGCTGTGTTTGGATCATACGTATTTCCACCGTGGGTTGGTGGAAAGGAGAACGCCCCAGGCAGTTCCAGAGGCCACAGGGATGGATGCCAGATTCGTAGGGCTTGAAGTTTAAACAATTCATGGGAATTTTTTATGAAAAAAAAAAAGTAAAACTGCAAATACAGCAACCTAGCTACACTTAGAAATGAGTGTGGGGCACATTAATATGTCCCTACAAACCCAAACTAAAAAACCCTCCACCTCCATTTCCCCACACCGGATCTCAGAGCCACCCAAGGCCCCTCCGTGGCACCCCTGGGGCGAGAGGGAGGAACTTGGGTAGAGACAGGCAGGGACCTCACAAGAGCAGTGACCCGAAGGCCCTGGGCACGTCGCTCGCACCCCCCAGCTCCCTGGGCTCTGTGCAGTCGAGGGCCTCACAGCTTAC